ATGTGTGTACACACATGTCCGCATACACACTTCCAAGTGAGGAATGCTTGTGGCATTATAATACTCGTATTGTTTGTGCGGTCAAAGTGGCCAAATAAATTTTATTTGTTTTCTCCGCAATTGAATAAAATGTTCTTTTAATGTTCTGCTGAAAAGTTTCAATCGCACACTGGCTGGTGGTTTATTGCAAAAGGGGATTAGTCTCCTTGAACACTTGCAGTTGGTTGGCTCCGCACTTGATACTCGTACCATCTATTCTATCAGGCTATACTTGTACCTTATGCCATGCTTGAGGCTTGGACAAATGGCGCCTATGTAGACACTATTGCCATCGGCCGATGCCAGCATATCTGGCCAATCGTTCGATGTTTTGATAATCATTTTCCTTTATTTGTACACATTTTGTTTTTATTGTTTCCCTGGGTAATGTTTGGCCGCATGGAAATAAATATTTTGGATGTGTGCATATGTTAAGCATTGTTCAGAGGTTTTTAACGGTTTTTGTTGTAGCATTTGCGTCGAAATTGTGGAATATGAAATTACTTCATTGTGGAGGTATGATGCAATATCCAAGCATACAATGTGCATACACTCAAAATTTCTAGGATTATTTATCCGACTTTGATTTGTTCGGATTTCATCGGTTAGTGAGCCGCAAGTTGATTTTTAGATAGTGTACCAATGCCAAAATATTAGTATCTATATCAATATACATACATAGGTTTGTTTCGCATTGGCTAGATTACTGAGGTACACTTTCTATTCTATAAAAAGCAAAATACGAAGCAAAATAAGTAAGGAAGGGCTAAGTTCGGGTGTAATCAAAATTTTATACTCTCGGAACTTACAAGTATCAAAGCCGGGGAAATACTTATAGGTGTTGCAATACTTTTTATTAAAAAATGTTGTAATGAAAGAATTTAACATTCACCGTTCGACGAAATCGTAAATGGATTACAATCTAATTTGTATTTTATAAACTTATATTATAGGCCATAGACTCAATTAGTTTTCAAACTCTATTTTACTTCCCTTCAGCAAAAATGATATTTTAAATCATCTTCAAATGAGATACATATATGTATTATGTGACATAAACTCAACCGAAAGGATAATTAAATATTTTGAGTTAATGTGGAAAGCGTCAACCCGGGAATTGGAACTGATTATATTAGGGATACGAGTTTTGGACCAGTGTCTAGACCAATTCGATTCATATTTAGCGCTCAACCACATAATTTTTAAGAAACCTGGTCTATTTAATTTCATTTAAATAACACAGGTTTTGACCAACTCAATGGTTTAAAGTCGGAAATCATTATATAAGATATATTGGAGGCAGAATAAAGTCTGTGCTGATTGCATTAATTTTTGACATTGCTCAGATATACTCGATAATATTATATATTTTCAAGAATTTTAAATATATACCTTTTTGACAGTTTGTGGCAGCCATGTTTGTTGTTAAGTTTTATTAGTGTGTTCAGTAAGGTTTGCCATTTCATAATGTCACGAGTTATCGCACTTTTAGTAGTTTTCAACATGTTTTTTCCACACTGTTAATAGGAGTGCCAAAAGATTTGTAGTGAGCAAGTTTGGTTGCTTCAGTTTAAGTGGTTTGAGAGATATGTACACTAAACCTATTAGGGGGCAGGACCATTCCCACTTTTTTAAAATTTCTTAAACCGCTGATGACCCTTCCTAATGCGATATGTTGTGCCAGGCTCGTATCTTATTGTCGATCTTGCTTATGGCACTTTACAGTAAGAGAACATGAAAAGAATTTCAAAAAGTCTAGATCGAGTACGATGGGAGAGATGTTCCTGTTCCAGTAATTGTAGAGCGATTACAGGAAGGTCAACGTATTAAAGAGAGAGAAACTTTACCGCTATAAGTGACAATTAGACTAGTGCAGAATGATAATGGGGTCTTTTTTGCATTTCTGAAAAAATTTACCATAGTAATGTATGTATAGGTATATATATACCATCAGAAAGTAAAGATTTCAACAAAAAAACGCTTTTTGATTACTTAAAACATCTGAAATTATGACTTGAGAATTTTTGATGAAGAATTAGGGGGTTTTCGATTTTAAGTCGAAATAGTCCTCCTAAATATTTTAAATAAAAAACAGTGTGTTTGGGACATTAGAAGGTAAGTTTAAATTTAATGAAAGAAACAAATTTACAAAAATACCAGATAAAAAAAACCCAAAAACTTGATTGTTAAATTTTGATATAATGTAAAAAATTTCTACATCTATACATATTATAGATCCTTTTGTTATCTAAAACATTTCCATATATCTTTCTTTGATAGGATTCATAATTTTGCCGGAAATCGAGAAAAACTGTTTTAACCTTTAAGAATTGAGCCACGTCCCTCCCCTTCCTTTTCCCGACCTGAGATCGCCGGGAAATTATTTTTCCTTTTATGTTTGTTATTTTATCTTTCGATTCTGATGGGTTTCTTACTATAGTTTTTTTGTTTTCAAATATTATCTACCCTGGTCTAAATATGTTTGGAAACTATAAAACATTTTTATTGAATGATGAGCTTTTTTCATAATTATTTAAAAACAACATAAAATTTTAAATGAAATTTTTTAAATGAACCAAAACCTGCAGATGTCAAAATAACACAACCATAGTCATATAACATACGATCACGAAGGCAATTCACCGATTACGCTCAAATTTTTAACGTCACAAATTTACATTTTTATGAGTTCATTCGTTGACGCGGCATATACAGTCACATATACAGTAGATCCCAAATGTATGCTGCATTTTTACAGAAATTTTTACTTTTTTTTTTAATAATAGGGTAACAACTCGGAATTGCAGAATAGGCAATAATAATAAAAAAAAAAAAAAAAAAAGTTTGTTGTTAGAAAGTGAAATCAAGTGGGGAAATAACCATATACGTAACAGGTAGGTGAAATACTCGTAGCTCATATCGTTTTAAAGATAAATGATTTTTTTTACAAATTGTTTTATGCAAAATTTGATTTGATTATTTAACCTAGCAGAACTGAGAGTGAAATATAGCGATATTCCAACTTTTCACTCCGATCCAGAGAATATGGTGGATGTAGATGTCTCCTTTGTTTTTTGAATTTGTTACATTTGTATTTGAATCAGTATGTACTTCTTTGACTTCGATTTGGAAGGTTCTTGCCTTTTCAAGATATTCTATAAATATAATTATATGCGTATCCCAAATCACTGACTCGGTCATGCCACACTTTAGTTTGGTTTCTTTTATTGTACAAGCATAGCTTTCGATTGGGCCATGGAGTGAAATGATGGAGACAGTTCGTTGTTGTTTATGTCGATTGTTAGCTTCGCGTGGTATCCGCTACGTACAGAGCTTTCTCCGATGGACATATTTTTCAACGATATTCAGTTTCTTTGATGATTTGAGAGTGTCCCCAATCCCGATTGGCAAACATTTTCTGAACGGACATTCACATATCGGTATAAACTTGGGAACAAGGCTTTCATACCACAGAACCATATATACCATTGTGAATACGGTGAGTAAAAATGAATATTCTTCCATAATTTTTTGATTTTTTATTTTTTATTTTATAGTTTATTTATAGTCCGGTCAAAATAGACGGTGCTACATAAATTTATAACAAGCCGAAAGTTGTGAATTTATTCAAAAAATTATTAAAAATATGATACTAAAAGTCTTCATCGTTCCGATATGTGGAAAACAATATTGGAAGTCAAAGGTCAAGCAAATTGTATAGCGATTTTCGACGAAATGGTAAGTTGACCAAAAAATTACTTTGACGAAAATTGTCTTATAGAAGTGTTTCAATACTTTTTTCCTAAGGCGTACCGTTATAGCTAAAATGAAAATAATCTACAAAAATCAAATTTTAGTAAAATATAACACTTTCGGGGGTCACTGTATGCAGCTGGTATAGCTGGTAATTATCAAATATCAATTATTTTTGTTTATAAATAATTTTAAGTGCACTGCTTTGATCGTATTATTCACATGTATTGATAACTGCACGCGCATAATTTACCACATTTCAGATTGTTCAACTCTGATGAAGATTTTATTTTCGGCGGTATAAACTCACAACCGTATCACAGGTAAAAAAGCAAACTTCAAATGATGCAATTTTTTTACCGCTAATATCATGCTAAAAATACTAAAAGTCTAAAAATACCTCAGAACGTCACCAGGAGGTGGTGCTGATGGCTAGCGGGTTCACTATTTGTGAATAATGTGTGTAAGAATTATGAATATTACTGATGCATATTGAATAACGGGAAAGCTCAGCTGATCACACCGCATCGACGAATTGCATCATATCGCGCAGAAATAACTCTAAATTAAATGGAATTCGGAAGACTTTACCCAAATATTTGCAAAAATTATTTCAGGAATTTGTTATTATTATTTGTTTTAATCAAAAGGCGGTTTCTTAAAATGTATACCTATATTGTTTTCACCCGCTTTTGGCTCAACCGATCGCAACATTCGTATGATTATTTTCCATATACATAATGATTTTGCATTGCATTGAAATATTATTATCAAATCGATTAAGTCGCTGTATTTTTAGTGAAAAGTTTTCCACTCCAGAAATCAGCAGTGTTAATAAATAGTGATAATACGACAACAAATTCAAGACACAACACTGTATTGAAATATTTGTATGTGTTACATGTTATCAAGCGCTGCCTTGCCTGGACGCCTAGCATCCCACCTTAGTTGTTTTCGGTATTTTATTTGTTTACATTATTGCTGATGAAAATCTCTTGCTTCTATTTGTTGTTGAGTCGAGATTATATTAAGTTGGCAACAAAAAATATATTGCCACGAAAACAACTCGAAATATTTTTGATTGTAAGTGCTAAGGTTCATTTAGAATTCTAAGATGATTTCTATCGTCATAAGAATAGTGTTTTATACAGAAATAAGTCGGTAGGGTAGTCATTACCAGATGGGGACGATAATGTTACTACTTGTAAATTACTCACACTAGGCACACATTCAGACATATACAAATGTATATATATTAATTGTTTCTTAAGGCACCATGTGCCACTCCCATTTTTGCGAAACACAATATAAACATTCTTCAGCATTTTTGTCGATTATTTGAGGAATGAGTCAATTAAGCATTAATAAGATAGTGTCAAATTCGATTATCATATCGGTGTGTATGTACGAGTATGTTAATATTGGGTACTTACGTAGCGTAATACATTTACATATTCACTCGAAAAGAAGTGTTTGAACTATTTTTATGTACAAACGAATGTGCGGACTTGGATGCGTTGAGTTGTCCTTATCAGTTTTCATGCTTAAATGAACAACAAGCGACGTCTAGGCAACCCCCGAACAGCTGATAAGGCTTCCGATTCGAATTGTTTGTCTTGATATTGATGAATTGTCTCAGAAATCAGAAAAACAAATTGATTTATAATACCTTAAGACAGAGCATCGGGCCTGATCGTTGTTTAATTCAAGTCTTGATTATAGTCAGAACGGTCGTAGGTAATCCAGTGATTAAAACGGACATTTTTATTCAAATCTGCATTAGAACATTTCAATTGAAGAACGTTTGAAAATTGAAAACCTTTCGTGCTTTTGTGGTGGAACTAACGAAATACATAATATTGTAAAGCTTTAAGAACAATTTATAAAACAACAAAAATGTCTTGTGCGAAAAACACCGGTAAATGTCTAAACATAGGTGGTGTGTACTAACAACTATCCAAAATACTCGTAATTACAGATCACTCGGTGCTAGACAAAGTATTGAGGTGGCTAAATTATATCTCTATATTATTGAGAAAATAGTTTCTTGAATAGCTTTATTTAAAAAAGCTTTAGTAACCAAATCTTGAAAAGTTTATTTAATGTTAAAGTTCTATCTGGTCGAAATTTAAGATACTAAATTATTTAAAAGTGAAGTGAAAAAATATAATATTTCTTAGGGGAAATTTGGACGATTATAATGTGGGATATTTATATATATACACATGTGCCGTCAAAACAAGCTGCTTTTCTGAACTAATTATAAGCCAACGAAAGCAAAATTGTGATCTTAACTGAATATATTGTATGCATTATATACGACGTTTTTTCAAAGTTCTCACAAGATCCGAATTATAACATTTATGTAATTGCAATTGTATATATTTTGTAAACTCTCTTAACAGGTGTTCTAACATATACATATGTATTGTAATTCACATTTTTAGACTCTAATAATGCCGTCACAAAGAGTCGGTCGATAATTTTTCCTGATAAAAAATACAAACAAGTTCAACCAATGGGCAAAGAAGTGTCGGGACTAACACACGAATGCGGTGTGTTTGGAGCGATCTCCTGTGGTGAATGGCCGACCCAGGTTAGTAAACTATGGCATTGATTTTTTAAAAAGATAGCATTTCCTACCACTCAACAAATATTCAAATAATGCCTCCTTTTAATATTTTGACAGCCAAAAAAGTTTAAAATAATAAGTGCATAATAAAGTTTTGACATAAAAAAAAAATTTTGGGTTGGCAACTAAGTAATTGAGAATTTTTAAAAAATAAGCAAAGACAATTTTTTCATGGAACTAAATAACTTTATTCTGTAATGTATTGCCCATTTTGATCAATGACCTTTTGCCATCTTTCAGGCAGCATCATAATCCCACGTTCATAAAACTTCTGGTTTTATTAGCAAAAAATTGAATCAGGTATGATTTGACATCATCATCATTATTGAAATTTTTACCATTCAAGGAGTTTTGTAAAGATCGAAACAAAAAGTAATCCGATGGTGCAAGGTCAGGACTATATGGTGGATGTGGCAAAACATCGCAACCAAGCTCCAATAATTTTTGCCGAGTGACCAAAAATATATGTGGTCTTGCATTGTCATGAGGGAATACAGCACCTTTTCGATTTATCAATTCGGGCCGCTTTTCTTCAACTGCATTGTTTAATTTCGTTAGTTGTGCAATGAAGACAACAGAATTGATCGTTTGGTTGGGTAGTAAGAGTTCAAAGTAGACAATTCCTTTATAATCCCATCAAATTGATAACAAAACCTTCTTTTGATGAATACCAGCTTTTGGTGTTGTTTGAGTTGGTTCACCTGGCCTGCTCCATGATCTTTTCCGCTCGATATTGTTGTAAACAACCCATTTTTCATCGCAAGTTATCATTCGTTTTAAAAATGGATACTTTTTTTTTACGTTTCTTTAGCAAATCGTAGCTGTTAATGCGTTGCGTTAAATACGTTTCATTCAGTTCGTGTGGAACCCATGTATCGAGTTTTTGAACATAGCTAAGTTGTTTTAAGTGATTTTCAATGCATGATACCTGAAGCTTCTCTGCAATCTCACGTGTTGTACTGTGACGATCCGAATCGATTATTGCTTTGATAGGTCGTCAACATCTTCAACTGGACGACCAGAGCGTTTTTCATCTTTGAGTGAAAAATCACCAAAACGAAATTTGGCAAACCAATTTTGACACTGCCGTTGTTTTATGGCTTCGTCGCCATGAACAGCACATAACTTTTTGTGAGCTTGCGATGCGTTTTTCCCTTTGCGAAAATAAAAAAGCAAAACATGACGAAAATGTTTCTTTCGATCTTCCATTTTTCAACGAACGCCAAACGAAAACTACGCAACCGATCAAAAAACTGTTTTTTACTGATTAACAGCTGAATTGCCAACTATCAAATAACAAAATGTGTTTTACATTTGGACTACGCCAGCAAACCTAAAAATTTAACTGTAGCCATCTATGAGTGAAATCCGCAATTACTGAGTCAACCCAATATATAAATCTTGTCGTATGAAGCTCGACAGCGCTTATTGCCTAATTTATATCAATTATTTTTTACACTTTACATTATTCCTTATGTTTTAATTAAATACAATACATATTTATTAATAATTTCGTTTTAACTTAAGCAAATTAGGGTTAACAAAATTAATTTTAAATAATTAGGTTCTATACTTCCAATTACCACAACCATTAATAATTTTAACTACCTAGATTGCAACTATTGAATATGCGCTATGTTAAACACCAATCGAAGGCAAAGAATTGTATAATTTTTATGTTAGACTGCAAGAACTGGGCAGATTTGTGTTGCTTAGTTACTATGCAAGTAAAGTTTTTTTTTTCAAACAAATTGCATGACAGAAAATCCAAAACACAATACCGAAGCTACCTTGAGATATATAAGCATCTACCTGATTCAAAATTATGAAGTCTTTCAAGATGAAACCATAATACTCCTCACACAACTATGCTCGATGAGGCTGGTCCTGACGTTTCAGTTAACTGATTATTCATATATATTTGAAATTGAACATATATATTTTATAATATAAATATATATTGAAAATTTAATTGGATTTAACAAACGGGAAATATTTAATAATAGATATTGTATGACTGGTGGTTTTAAAAGATTCGGCTCATTTTAAATCTTTTGTTAATGGTAATCTAAAGACACATTAAGGTCCAATCAATTTTCTGGGATTGGAATTCAATTGTCGATAGAATCTTGTTCGGAATATTAAAACTTTAATAATATTTCATAATTTCGTTTTAAATTTATAATTATTTATTGTAAAATAATATTTTTAATTTTATTCAATGGCTAACTTTAATATTCGGGTTTTTATTTTAGTCACTTTAGGTGCGGGTAAAAACGTTAAGATAAATATGAAATGAAAATTTGATAATGACAAATTATAGTTTATTATTTTTTACATGCATATTAACATTTATTTGTTAGAATAAAACCACAAAATCACCGAAAAAATTTGTGCATTTTCTTATGCGAAAATCTGGTGCTGAAAACAGCAAGAGGAAAGAGTAAAACAACTGCATGAGCCCATTATTGATGAAGATAACAAAGAAGTTTTTAAATAACTAACTTATCGGTGCATTCATTTTTTAAGTAGCAAAAGTAGTGATTTTGCTCCGATGCGTGTGCAACGAACTTACGTTCAAGTATAAATTTGGCACAAATAAACAAAGTTGCAGATAGTGACGTACCCGCATTATTTCCAATTTTTATGTTTTTGGCATCTAAATCGAAAGTAGTGTTTTAATGAGTATAAGAAGGAAGGCTCACAAAGAGGTTCAATTTGTGTCATTTTTAAATATGCCTCTTATACGTACATTATCAGCATTGACGTCAGTAGTTGAGGGGTACAGTTAATATTGGAATGTTTAATTATGATGTGATGAACGTGGAATCAACTAATTGCAATGTCTTGAGCTTCTGCGGCTTATCAATATCGCGCGTTGCTTACTTGGGGGTCTTAGAGCTGTATTAATTGTTTTTGTTTACAATTCTTTAACATGATACGGGTTGTTATTGTTTCAGTCTTCAATTACGTCAAACCAATGGACTCATTTATCTGTCAATTTATTTGCTGGTGAGGTGACTAGTTGAAAATATGTTATTTTAGTTCATCTCGTTATCTATTTTCAAGATTATTAATCATAAATCTAATGATCCGAGTCCTGATTCGTTTATTACATTTCCAGATAGATATTGGTCAGTGCATTTTTCTGGGATTGGTAGCACTACAGCATCGTGGGCAGGAGTCGGCCGGTATCGCCACAAGCTTAGGAAAAACTGCCAAGAACTTTAGTATTCACAAAGGAATGGGAATGATAAGTAATCTCTTCAATGATGATGCAATTAGAAAATTAAAAGGTAACCTAGGCATTGGGCACACCCGATATTCGACATCAGCTGCATCGGAGATGGTGAATTGCCAACCATTTGTTGTACACACGGCACATGGAGCTGTGGCGATCGCCCATAATGGCGAACTGATCAATTGCGAATCTCTACGTCGAGTGGTGAGTATCTGATACATTTTTTATACCGTTTACTTTTTTTACTTCCAATGCTTTAAGGTCTTGGAGCGCGGTGTTGGCCTATCCACGCACAGTGATAGTGAGTTGATTGCTCAATCATTATGTTGTGCACCTGAAGATGCCAGCGAACATGATGGTCCTGACTGGCCAGCTCGTATACGCCAGTTCATGACACTTGCGCCGCTGTCATACTCATTAGTCGTCATGCATAAGGATAAGATCTACGCAGTACGCGACTCCTATGGCAACCGGCCTCTTTGCATTGGCAAGATTGTCCCAATCACCTTGGGCCATGGAAAGCCAGAAGATGCACAGGCCGAGGGTTGGGTAGTATCAAGTGAAAGTTGTGGTTTCCTTTCGATAGGTGCTCGTTATGTACGAGAAGTAGAACCTGGTGAGATTGTAGAGTTGACAAAAAACGGCTTCCGTACAGTTGACATTGTGGAGCGTCCGGATTACAAGAAAGTGGCCTTTTGTATTTTTGAGTATGTGTATTTTGCCCGCAGCGATTCTACTTTTGAGGGACAAATGGTATACTCGGTACGTTTGCAATGTGGTAGACAATTAGCACGAGAATGGTCCATCGAAGCAGATATTGTTAGCTCAGTACCTGAATCGGGTACAGCGGCGGCGCACGGCTACGCCAAGGAGGTAGATATCGATTTTTAAAAAATGTTTCATTTTCATTCATACAGCTTCAATTCGATCTCAGTCGGGCATACCATTTGCCGAGGTACTTTGTAAGAATCGTTACGTCGGTCGCACCTTTATTCAACCTTCTCCACGACTCCGGCAGTTAGGTGTTGCAAAGAAATTTGGCGCCCTCTCAGTGAATTGTGAAGGAAAACGTGTTGTTCTGATTGACGATTCAATAGTTAGGGGAAATACTATTGGTCCGATCATCAAGTTGCTACGAGACGCTGGTGCCACGGAGGTGCATGTCCGTATTGCTAGTCCACCGCTTATGTACCCTTGCTATATGGGAATCAATATACCAACTAGAGAGGAGCTTATTGCAAACAAGTTGGAGCCCGACGAACTGGCAAAACATGTTGGTAAGTCGATCATTTGCGCGGACTATTCCCTTTCTTTTATAATATAAAATGTAATTATTCATAGGTGCTGATAGTTTGAAATACTTGAGTGTGGCTGGACTCATTACAGCTGTGGAAATAAATAAAGCAAATACCAATCCCATTAAAACGGGATACTGCACTGCTTGCCTGACTGGAGAGTATCCTGGAGGCTTACCTGAAGAGCTCAGCTGGTAGCACTGATAGTTGTCCTTAAATTAAAAGAAAATCGTTCTGCATTTAAGTATTCATAGTTAATATATAGACAAAATCGATCACATTTATTTATTTGTTAAGCGTTTTTATATATTTTTTATACCTTAATTTGTTCAAATCGACTTATTTTAATATAATTACACATAAAAAATTTAACCATACAATCTAATTAATGTCTAACCTTTAATAATCACTTCTTTAAATACATATATGGTACATTGGAAATTTGTTTCCAATATTTAGGGAGTTTTAGGCCGGAAGTTTATATGTTCTTACTAAATTCGTGACAGCTTAGATTCCATAGGTTCAAACCCACATCGAAAAAATTACTTATAGTAAGTAAGTAAGCACCTTTCAGTAAGCATTTCTGGCAGAAAAAACTCTATTTCTTTCAAGTACATCAGCCCTTCCGAAGGGTTCTTAAATTTGCACAAGTCTATATTTGTCCATTTATGTATATGAACCGAAGCTCGGTCATGCATCTGAGTCAAGTGAGACAAATAAACTATGCAATATAATATTATAGTTACACAAGATATCATGAATTCAAGGACTTCAACTCGAAGATCATTTTATTTACTCCTCTTTGATGAGCTTTATATTATTTATATATTATATAACATTGATGGTTGTGGAAAAATGGATTCAACCCAAGCAACTTAGTTGATTACTTCTTGGAAATGTTTTCCCATACAATATCTGCAAATATTGAATGTAATTTCTCAAAAACGACCTTTTAATAGAAAGTATTTTATTAGAATGGCATCACTAATATAGGTATAATATAAATATTTATCTGAAAGTTTTAAGTTCTTCCACAGCTACTACTTACTACTTTGGATCATATTACTATCTCTTGTGTCAACATTCTTATGAATTACTAGCATGATTTCTAACACTTCTGTTAGTATGTTATGTCATTCCATTAATACCCTTATATTTGCACTACCTTCAGTATATTCTGCCCTTAGTAAAATTCTTTGTAAGTTAACCAGATTTTACACACTTTTCAAATATACTTTTCCACACTGCTTATAATAATTAGTATGGATGGGTGCATATAGTTATATTTGAGACAACTTTCACAACAACTTGGAAATTTACATGGCAGATGTTCTAACTTACATAAACTATGTGAAATTATATAAAACCGTATTTCAATAACTGCGTTATAATAACTGTCACAATTTAAATAGTTTGTAATGTAGACGTTATAGCAATTTTAAGATTATTCATTAGACAGCATATAGTAATTAGGGCGTGATTAGTATCACCTACAAAGATGAGGCTATATATAAATCAAGTAATTTAATTATCACTAAAATTACTACATTTGGCAGTTTTAGACAATAAACCTCAGCTTGATCACAATTTGATCGACCTATGAAGTTACGGTACGTCCCATGAAAAATGGGTATGAATATAGGGCAGTAGGAGTATATAGGAGCTGGGATAATTCATGGATTAACATCCTACATTTTCGGCATTAAACTATTGTATATTCAAATTATAATCACTTAATTTTGCTAATATATTTCACATAATATTTTTACCCGATTTAATTAGTAGTAAATTAAATAGAAGTTTCTTTAAAATTTTGATATATCCACGGTTTTTAATTCTTACTGTGGTGTCAGAAATTCTGTATTGCGGCTGTATGTATGAATAACTGAGGTTAGTCGGCATTTCAGAATATTAGAAATTCTCACCTAATTGTAAATATTTCCGCAACCGCATCCAACACTTAATTAAAAAGTTTATATTATTTTAAAAATTGTCTGTACTTCCGATTTGAAACCACACGCGCAACCAAGGCAAAAATTAAAAGTTGATTTTGAGCCTACCATCCCTGCAAACCACCTATCGGTTAAGTAACCGGTTAATTACCCAACAGCGCTATCAGAGATTTCTGTTAAAGTTTCTATTAGTTTCTTAAGGCCCAATTGACAATTCTTACCGAAAGTGTCTTATACGAGTGATCGTTCATCCCTTTCTTACAGATTGGGCTTATGAGTTGCATGGTATGTATGTGTTAGTTTCCACACCAAAAACTTAACATTTGGTATTACCAGACTATATCATTATGTAGCTTTATTAATTGAAAATTTTGGAATTCTATAAAAATTGTTGGTAAATCAAGTTAAGGTATAAACCATCGATGGTCAAAATAAACTGTCGATATTGAGACAAAAATAAAACTCGATACTCCGATCAATTGTTTTGCAGCTCTATTGTTTTAGTTAGTTTCAGAGATTTGAAAGATATGTAAGTTATTTTTTAGCCCAATGGTGTCCTTCGCTACTGCGATCTCCTGTACCAAATACCAATTTTGTATCTTAATTAAGGGCTTGGTTAAATACATAACCCTATACCTATCGCGATTAGTTTTAGATGATACAAACAACCGTTATGTGAACAGAACTATTATACTCTATATCAACATGTTACGAGAGTATAATAATATTTTAACAAAAAAAAAAACACGTTAAGCGGCACACCTATTGTGACAGCCTAAAAAATGTCGACTTTTTAAAAAATAAAATTACTGTTTCGATTGTTTTGAAATTTTTAGGGTTTATTTATACATGTTCCAAGAATACACAGTGAAAATAAAATTAACTACTTTTTGAGTTATGCGAGATCTCCGACCGCGTCAAAAAAATGGTTCTTCACTGCTACAATGATTCCAGTCTTCTCCGTGGATGAAGCCTAAAAATAAACATGTGAGGAAGGGCTAAGTTTGGCTGTAACCCAATATTTCATACTCTTGCAATTTGCAGGAATCAAAGCCGCGGAAATACCTTCAGGTGTTGGCAAAATTTTACTTAAAAAATGTTGCGAAAGAATTCAACATTAATTGTTCGACGAAATCTTGAATGGTTTACAATCAAATTTGTATAAATATGGTACATAACTCATACACTGACCGACATATACGCCATAAAATTTGGTAGAATAACGAAAATCGTTACCTCTAGTATATAGTACAATAGTTTGGATAATTTGTGGACCAATTTCACATATTTTCAGCTTTAAATTACAGTATATCCAACATTTTACGTTTAGTTAATTTTGCCAAGAAATCCTAAAAGTTGACCAATATATACGGTATAGAGAGTAAGGGTAGTATTGACCCGATTTTATCTATTTTTGGCATTAGTACATATTATTAACAGAAAATGATGCTCTCTGAGTTTCATTAAGGTTCCTCACACACCATCCCCAATATATAAGTAGTAAAGTTAACTAGATGTTTGAAAATGCTGATTTAATTATTTGGGGTTTAGCGCAAGTTCCCTCGATTTTATCCATTTTATGCATGAAGATATATTGTCATTACAAAAACGTTCGCTCTCAATTTTATTAAGATAACGCTCATATTGAAAGACATATGCGGTATAAAGTCAGCCGAAAGTTCGATAATATTTCTATTAGGTACTATATGTAGGCTAGTGGAATTATTGATCCGATTCAACCTAGTTTTGACAAAAGGGAATACCATTATCAGAGAGGATTGTCTTCGAGTTTCTATAATATGTATATTTCAGAGATTGATCAATATTTTCGATAAAAAGAACTGGGGTCCCCATATTCGGTATATGGGGGCTTGAATAGTTTTTGCCCGATTTGAATTAGGTCAAATAATGGCACATTTCAAAGGCACTATTCGGGCAAAGTTTTATACCAATACATTCATTGGTTGTTGATTTGTATACTGAAAAGTAAAAGAGTCAAATGTAATTTCGAATTGTGTTATCGGGAAAGTAGGCGTGGTCATTATTTGATTCCGCCCATTTTCGTACTGTAACATATACATTTCAGGGTAGTACTACCTGCCTAATTTGGTTAAAATTAGCAATTGTAGCAACATGTTGTAGGAGTATATAAATTCTCGTTAAACTAGACGATATTCTCATAAATTTTCTGAAATCAAACATTGACAAAATGGTGGCGTTTTTACTCCAGATTTTGGTCGGTTTCCGAGTGTAAACTATGGAATTATAAAAAAATCGATTTTTTAAATTTCATACTAGGTGTGCACCGAACTTATACAAAACCCTTCACAATTAGAAAAATTTCTTTAAAGAACTTGACTCCGATCGTTCAGTTTGTATAGCAGTTACATATATGCTATAGTGGTCCGATTTCGGTTCCGACAAATGAGCAGATTATTCAGGAGGAAAGGATGTGTGCAAAATTTCAGATCGATATCTCAAAATCTGAGGAACTAGTTCGCGTATCTAGAGACAGACAGACAGAATGGCATGACTAAATCGACTCAGCTCATCACACTGATCAATTGTATATATATTTCATAGGGTCTCCGACGTTTCCTTCTAGGTATTACAAACTGTGTGGCAAACTTAATATATTCTGTTCAGGGTATATAAATACTTACTAAAGGAAATACGCAGTAGTTATTACAGTATTTTATATGCAAGCATCAGGTTACATCGTCCTTCTTCTGACTCATTAGTCGAAATATGTTAAACGGGCGTTTTTTTATTTTTCATCACCTTTATGAGACGCAATTCAAGGCATACATTCTGCCGAAAATTCACTTTGCCACTTAAAACATCGTATCTGCCACTTTAAATGCAAATTCATAAAAGTCATACGACATAATTATCCTGTCACAGGATTACGGTTGTTTCAAGTGTGCTGTTATTATGACATCCTCAGTTCTGCCCCACACTAAACATGCAATATATGCACTCTATATTATCCGCTGAATATCATTCCGAGCACAACCACTGGAACACAAACGTCTGCAAAGAGGATAATACACACAACCCTGCACAAACATATTGCACTTCATCTTGCCTCCTTAGTGCTATTAAATGTTTTTCCTTTTCTAATATCCTTGCTATTTTTTAATTCATTCTATCATTGTGGTTGCTAAAAAATTGCAATATGTTGGCTACGATGTGATAACTTTGGGAAGTTGCTTCGGCACTGAAATAAAGTATTAGGGGGATATTCAAAGAAGTCATAAAAGTGAAGCGTGCACAAACAAGGAACATAACAAAAACAATCAACGGGCAAAAAAATTGCAAACAATATTTTGCTAAGCTTAAAAAAACAATGAATCAGGATACGCGGAGGGTGTGGTGGATAAGTGGGTGCAATGATGTAAGCAGAAACGCGGTCGAATG